TTCGTTAATTACCTCGCTCCTCCGTCGACACAGCCCTCCTTGCTGCGAGCCGGCCGCCTCCCCTCGCTCAATCGGCTCATTAACGGTGATTAATTACTAATTAACGGCGCCCCCTGGGTGCTCGCATCGCCCCACATCGTCCTCATTAATTACCCCCATTAATTAGCGCAGCCCGTGGGTTAAGCCATTAGCTCGCCCCGTAATTAACCCCCCCAGTAGTTCCCATTCATTAACTCCCTTCTTAATTAACCCCATCAGCCATCACCCACATTAATCACCCCATCCTCATTAATTGCCCCTGCTAATTAGCACAGCCCGCTATCAACCCCCCTTAATTAGCCCCAAGACTCATCACCCACCCATGTTAATTACCCCATCCTCATTAATTAGCCCCGTTAATTAGCACAGCCCGCTAATTAAGCTGTTCATTCACGCCTTAATTAACCGCATGAGGAGTTCCCATTAGCTAATTAACTCAACCCTCAATTAACCCCACAAATTGCCCACACACATTAATTAACCCCTTTCCCATTATTGAGCTCAGCTCATTAGTGAGCCTATTCAGTCCCTAATTAACCCCTTCAGTCACCCATCCGCATTAATTACCCCCATTAATTAGCACTGCCCATTAGCTGACCTATTAACCCCGCCATTAATTAACTCCATGAGTCGTTGCCCTTCCACATTAATTACCCCCATTAATTGCCCCATTAATGGCACCAATCTCTGTTAATCGTCCCTATCCTTATTAATTACTCTCAACTTATTACCCTAATTATCCTTAATTACCCTGTCCCCATTAATTAAGCCACTAATTGACACACTAGTCATACTCATATCCATTAATTACGCACCTTAATTACCCCTACACCCATTAATTGCTCTATTAATGGCATCTACCTCTATTGATCACCCCTGTTCTTTAATTACTCTCAATTTATTACTCTTAATTTATCAATCCCATTAATTAAACCATTAATTGACACATTACTTGCATTCACGCCCACTAATTGCCCACACCTCCGTTAATTACCCACTAATTGCCTCACAAATCGCTCGTTTATGCCATCATCACTCATTGATTGCCTCTCCCTCTTCGCTGATTGCCTCAATCCCCATTAATTACTGCGCTAATTACCCCACTAACAGCTGCACAAATTGCTGATCTACCTATTAATCATTAATCGCCCGTCTCTTTAATTATTATTATTATTATTAATTAACCCGATAATTACCCAACTAATTGCCCCAAACCCATTAATCGCCCTTTCCCGAATCCCCACGAGTTATTAATTGCTGTTAATTACAGCTAATGACTGCAGTTCATTAATTAATCATTAATTGCTGCACGTGACATCGCAACATTAATTAGCATTAATTACGGTAATTAAGCAGCCCATTAATTACCGTTGACGGCGGCGGCGGAGCTTCCATGGCATCTTATGGCCGCAGGGGGCTGTGGGGTCAACGGGGTCATTGGGGTCATTGGGGTCATTGGGGTCAATGGGGTCATTGG